ATTAAATAGTTTTAATTTTCTGTATTTGTCTTTGTACTTATTTAGTATATCTCTTAATAAAATGAAGGGCAAGATCAACTAAGTAAAAAAAAAAAAAAAAATATAGCACTCGAATTTGAGATTAAACAAAAAAATACTATCCTTAACTGTATCTAAGATAAGGAAGTATTTCAATGAGAAAAAACACCTGAATATTTAAACACAAAAAAGGAATCAGAAGAGGAAGACAACTCTGATACCAACTTTTATATCTAGCAGGCTAACTATCTTAACTGAAGTACAGGTAAAGCCTAGTAGGATATAGACCTAGAGTATGAGGTTGAAATAGTATCTAGTAGAAATAATATTATTAACTAGACAAGTAGTATCATTGAAGCTGAGATAAATAATAATTTTAGTTAGGACCTTGATACTGAAATTAATGAGAGAAAAGAAAGTGTTAGTATAAATAATACAGAAACAAACCTTTCTCATCTGAAAGAATGAAAACTAAGGCTAAAGCTACAAAAAAGGAAAGTCTTGAATTAATAAACAAACCTACAAGTCAACTAAAAAATAGTGATAATTCAGACTTATCGGAAAAAGAATTAACTACCCAAGTACTAATAGAGAAAGATACAGAAAAAATATCAGCATCTAAAGAAAAAGCAGAATCTTTTAATATACCAGTAATCTAGTACCAAAAGATAACTTTTAGAAGAAGACAGAGATTGCTTTTTATACCCAACATATTGAGAATGAAAATACATATTTTGTTTATACTCACCTCACCCTCAGAAGTTATTTTTCTATGAGAGAGTTGAGAATAAAAGAAGCTATCTACTAGATCGATTTTGGTAAATACCAATTTGTTGCTAACAATCAACTCGATCTCCTGACTCTCTAGGAGTAGATTATAGAGATATATCAGCAAAAGCAAAACTAGAAAGAATTATTTGAAGACCCATAATAGCTATATTAGATTACAAAAATTTTAATTAAAAATCAAAAAAAAATAAAAATAAAAAATAAAATTTTTATTTTAAAAACTAAATATCAAAAAAAAAAAAAAAAAAAAAAAATGATTATTAATAGACGTGATATAAAAAGAATAGAACAATCACAACAGTAAAGTGCAGGAGTAAAGGGTACTTTATGATGCAAAAAAAAGAGAAGTTAAATTGGATTTACAAAGACTTACCTAAACAAGACAAAAAGTCCAAATCATGACTTATTTTAAACTTCACTAGGTAAGTCATAAAAGAAAAAAA